TGGTGAATATTTACGATGCACATTGGTAAATATTTACGATGCACATTAGTGAATATTTACGATGCACATTGGTAAATATTTACGATGCACATTGGGGAATATTTACGATGCACATTGGTGAATATTTACGATGCACATTGGTGAATATTTACGATGCACATTGGTGAATATTTACGATGCACATTGGTGAATATTTACGATGCACATTGGTGAGTATTTACGATGCACATTAGTGAATATTTACGATGCACATTGGTAGATGTTTTCATTGATTTTATGCATTAACATAAAATAAAAAACAGTAAAAATCTCTGCTTTTCTTTTTTGTTTTTATTGTTAAAGAAATTATATTGTAAAATTTGGTTGCGTGAATTTTTTGTTGTTGTTGAAGTTTAAATCAAGATTTCTGCATGTCGCAATCACTTTTACTTTTATTTACTTTTTGTTTAGAGCCTTTGCAGTTTTAAGTGTTTATATATATTTAAAAAAATATTTGTAAGTTAAAAATTGATTTAAATTTATTTTTCTAAACAGTTTACTTTTATTCACTTTTGCTTGAAGTTGTAAACTGTTACTATTACTACTATTGAAAATGTTTTTATTATTATTATTTTTTTCTATTTATTATTATTATTATTATTACTTTTTCTTAAGGTGGAGAAGGAAGAAGGGGGTGGGGGAATGGGATAATTAATCGTGACGTAACTTTGTAAGAGGGTGGTCTCTGAAAGTTTGACATGTTGTTGACTAGGGGGAAAGGGGAAATAAAAAATTGCCAAAATATTTTTGATGTAAATAAAAGAACGGCCGACAACCCCTTAGAAATAAAATGATTATAGACTCAAATTAAAAAAAAGTCTTGAAATTGAATTTTGTACTTATTTGCAAATATATATTAGTAGAAAATCACTTAACAAATTTTTTTTTTTCATTTTACACTGTGTTTTATCAACAAAGACTCATATATACATATACTGTTATAATCAGTCAGGGACTCAATGAAGGTAAGGATGATGCTTTTTTCATCACAATCTTTTCATAGAGCCGCTTTAGTCACTCAATAAAAAAACACTTTAATTTTTGAAATAAATTAAAAATTCAATAAAACAAAGCTCATATTTTTCTTCTATATAAAAAAATTGAAAAAAAAAAAAAAAAAATTCAACAATATGAAAACAAATACTGTAAACTATAATATGTTGGAAATTAAGAAGATGCATTGTAGTTTGCCGTTTAAATGATGACTTCACAAAGTTGTTTGTCAGTTATCCTGAAATCTTGATATTGATTTTTCACTACTTTCTAGACTAGCTTGAGCTCTGAAACTTTCAGCATTTGTGAAAATTTAATAAACTTACATGTTAAAATTATTTTTAGAGCCAACCGAAAAACTTTACTTTTTTGAATCTGTTTTTTTTTTTTTTTTTTTTTTTGCTGTTGCTGTTGCTGTTGCTTTATCTTTCAGACTTGTTAGAACTCTGACAGCATTTGTCTAGTCCCGATGAACATGTATGTCAAAATTCAAATATCAAAAATTAAATTTAAAGGGCCGTGTCTTAACCTTTCTTCTCGAGTATTTATTTTCTATAAAGTTAGGGTTTACAACTTTTTAGAAACTTTTTATTTTTTTAAACCCCATAATAAATTAACTCCCGTAGCGTAAAAAATTAACCGGGGAGTTAATCTATTTCGAAATAGATTAACTTCCCTTAAAATATAATAACTCTGGTCGGCAAAACAAATTAACTCCCCATTTTGAATTATTTTGACTTCCTTCGAACAGCAACAACTACGAATTACAAAAAAAGTATTTCAACTTGATGTTTTCCAAATATGTTTGTTTTTAAATCTGTTAATTAGTTATTAATATGAATATAATAACAGTAGCACTCTATATATCTTAAGCATTCTTAAATATTTATACATTTGATATATATGTATATACATATATATCGAATACTACTATCTATCTACTAACTGTAATATCTACTATTGTATTGGTCTGTTTTTTTAAGAACATTGAGTATTCTATTTTATTTTAAATGTTTTTAATTTTAAAACAAAGTTAAAGTTTTAGCTTATTTGTTGAAATCACATAATTGTTGTTGAAAGAGATTTTTTTACCATAAAAGTCTATTTCGACCACGAAATAAGGATATATATATATATATATATATATATATATATATATATATATATATATATATATATATATATATATATATACACACATTTTTTATATATATTAGGGGCGTGTCGGGTACTTGGTAAATCAGCTGTTTTCCCAAGTACCCGAAATAGCTATTTTTTTTTGCAGTACCTGGCACCGGGTATGTTTAAAAAAGTTTTTTATAAACATATGCCTAAAGTGATCACAGTGTGCTAAATTGACCGTCAGGTGTAATGTCCGCCCACACTTTTTTATTATTCCCTACGAAAATACCAACCAAATATTTGTCAAAAAAATTAAATTCAAATTCACATCTATAAAAGGGTATCTGAAAAGTTACTTTTTATATGCACCCAGACCCCAGAAAAAGGTGGGGTAAGTGGGTGCTAGAAAATAAACTTTTTGAATTTTTTTTTGTAGTTAAATTACAAGTACAATTTTTTTTTGTAGTTAAATTACAAGTAATTAAGATAACCTTAATTAAGTTCTTTAAATATTGGTGAGAGACTAATATAAAAGATATTCTGGTACAACCGAATCTTAAACATAGATCTAAATTTTTTAGGAATATTTGTAACTTTTCTTGTTTAAAATAATTTTTAGGCCATGATTCTTATAATCTTGAAGTGTCATTAATCAGGTCTATATGTTTATATATAAAAAAATAACTTCATGAATATCGCAAAAAGAAAAAATAACTTCGCAAATACCGTAAAGAGAACAAATAAATTTATAAATTCGTAAAAATGACATGATTAGTAATAATAATACATAAATTTAAGTTTTACAAACTTTACAAAAAAAGTTTTATTTTTGAGGGAAATCCAGAGCGAGGTGACTATATAAGATATTATTTGTATTTTTTTAATGTATTTTAAGAATGTTTAGAAGACGTTTAAAAGACATTTAAAACATTTATAACGTAACTTTTAAAAGAAAATGCCCGCAGGGAAATTTCGAAGATGGATTCTTGGGTTATTACCTAGTTTTAACATCCAAAGACAAATCAAATCTTTTATTGACTATGTGGAGTGCTTTTTTATGAATTTTATTTATTGCAGTGTCTTTAATAAAGAAAAAAGGTCATATATAACTGTATTAAAGAATATTGGCTCAAGGATTGATCCTTGAAGCACCCCACATAAAAATACTAAGAAAATAATGAACCTAATTTAACCCTTTGTTTACGATCGCTTAGATATGATATAAATTTATATATAAATTTAAGGCTTTTCTTAGAAAAACCTTAGGCTTCAATAGAAAAACCATAGGCTTTATTAATCATAAGAATTCAGGTCTTAAGGTTTTGAAAAATTCATATTCTTAGACCCAATAATATCATATCTTTTTTTTTTTTAGTAAAATAAAAAAAACGCAATGTCATAACCTCTATGAAAGGCAAACTTTTTTTTTTTTTCTTTTTTTTTAACACAACAGAATGTTTAATCTAGGCTCTATAAATGCCCGTATTTGCTCAAATATAATAAGCTCAAATACTTTGAAAGAACTGGAAGAATACTTATTGATCAATAGTTTGTCCTTTAACTTGTTTAAAGAATATATATGACGCTGATGTCATACCTTGCTTTAAGAAAGATGAAACTAGGATGGTTTATATATCTCTCAACAGCCGTTCTAAGTGAGTATACGAAATTATCGAATGTTGAGCCATCATAATTAATAGAGAAAGAGACGTTTATAAAAATTTGTTTAAAATATTTAATTTTAAATTGTTTTCAAAAATCACTTCACAATTTTCCACCAAAGTTATACGTTCATTGGATTTACCAAACCTTTTAGAAAGGAATGGTTTACAAAACCTCCAAAGAGAAGTATTCGTTGTCGTGTGCAAACTAATTCATCCAAAATACGTTTGCTTAGTTTTCTGATTAAGGTTAACGACAAGATTTCTTTGTTTTTTATATATTACGAAATAAATTTCAGATTTATCAGCCTGATATTTATTTCGTAAATAATAACACAACATAACTGCTTTTCTAAATAGTTTTGTGACAAATGGGTTGTTATTGTCTCTGAGGATTTAAGTCTTTATAAATATTTGAAAACATTTTCATTTTTTAAAATGCCACGCCAAACTTTTAATACTCTTGAATACCTTTGTGCTTGTTACCTCCCCATATCAATACACCATTAACCCACCTACCATTGGATTGATAGTATATATTATTTTTATTTTTCCTCATAATCTTACACTATTTATTCATAATAAATATTATTTTTATTCATAATAAATATTAAACTTTATTTCATTTTTTTTTAAAGGACAATAACGTTGACGGAGTAATTGTTGGAGCTTTCTGTACAAGTAATCCAATGAGCCAAATTCGTTTTTATCTTGAAAATGAGATTCATATATGCGAATGCACATTTCTTCCAAATCCAGGAAGTAATAATGAATGTAGAATTCATTTTTGGTATTGTAAATAAAATAAAAGTTTATCATAAAATATTATTGTTTAACTTGATTTATTTACCCTACGGACATTAGTTTTTAAAAGATACGTTCTAAATGTCTATTAAACGTTTTTTAAACTTCTATTAAACGTTCTTAACGTAAGAATGTTTAGAAGACGTTTTAAAGACATTTATTATACATTTAGAACGTAACTTTTAAAACATATGGGTGTAGTTTTACTTTATAATGTATATTGTGTAAACTGACTTGTACTGAAAATCTTAAATTACGCTGTATGATGTGTATATACTATCGCCTAATTTATATTATATATAATAGTTATTTTATTTTTTTCATGAGCTGTTATATTTTGACACTTTTTAACATGTTATTTTTACTTTTAAAACAAATAAGAAATCAATAAAGCCGTAACACACGGAACACAAAACTCGCCTGTAAGTAATATATTAAAGATATAAACCATTATTTATTGCAAATTTGATGAATGTTGTTTAAAATTAAATCCGTTTTTGTTTTGCATTGCATTTTTGTTACGATGGCTTTAATTTTTCAAAACTGCAGTTTGATATAATATTTTAAACTTATATCAATCAAAGCTAACTTATTCAAAACACGTCGTTTTTAGTTCGGCTTAAATATTTAATGGTACACATAAGAATTTAGCGAGTTTATATATTGACTTGAGTTATTATGTTTACCTTTTAGAATAAATTAAATTTAAATGTAAATAAAATTTCAAAAGTAATTTTTTATTTGTCAAAGTTTGTATGTATATATTGATTATTTTAACAAGTTGTTTATAAAAATTGTTATTTGAGCATTTGTAAATTTTATATCGACGAAGTTCAGGAGAGTTAATGTAATTATTTTACAGAATGAATACATGTTTAAGATTTATAATCGCTTTAATATTTTGAAGTATTTAAATATTTATATTACAGTTATTACCAACCTGTATGTTTATTAGACGTTTACGTGTCAATATATAAAATAGGGATCATATTAGAGAGTTTTTAAAAAAATAATATAAAAGCCTCTAAAGAATCTCTATTATTGGAATTGCTTTATCAAAAATGGGATTCAAATCAAAACCTTTTGTAAATGAAAAACTAATTATAAAATTAAATTTGGAAAACCACATAACTCAAACAACTAGAATTAAGCAGGAATCAATATATATTGTTTTATTCGCAATTAAACGAGTTTTCACAATCGATATTGGGTTAAATATTTTTGTTTTAAAAGATTGACAGGTCAAAAAGGTTCTGATGATCCTTATAAAGTTGTTATACATCAAGTTCTTTGTAGAAAGTGAAACAGGGACCAGAACCATCTCCATATAAAATTTTCCATCCACACCCCATTCCCATCAAGTTTGTCCTTATCCCCATCGATAAAGCAAATTTCACAAATCAGTAGACCTCATCATCAGGAGTGGATTCATTATTTTTTTGATGTTTGATATAGCTAACTTCCAGAAGTGGAACAAGCTCCAATCATTTATACGTTAATACTTATGTCAAATAAGGATGCTTTTTAAAAAGTTGTGCTAATTGAAGTCTGGGAACAAAAAGCCCTAATATTTTATATGCTATTGTTTAATAAAGTTATACTCATCGATAAATTTTAAATTTCATGCAATATTCTTTTAGCGTTCAAAAGTTATGACTATGTAAAGTTTTGAACACCCCTTATTAGAGAGACCCAGCAAACATGTCGGCGTTGAATCAACGTTGAACCTTAAATGATTGATTAAAAAACAGTTTAAATCAATCACTATTTAATAAAATAACAGTTGCAACAGTTGCTACAAACCTTCCGCAAAAAAAAAAAAAATCTTTCAAATAAGATAAAGATTGTTTTTAAATAACCAATCAATTTTGTAGAAAGCTTAAAACTATTGCATCAGTTGCTCCAAATCGTTCAAAATTTAAAAATTCTGATATGCCACCTGATATACGAACTTCGCTCGTAATTTTTGTCGTAAGACTTTGCTAGTAAATTAGAGTTTTGAAACAAAGATGAACTTTTTTTGTCTTAAATACAATTAAGACCAGATATTTGCCAAATATTCGCAAATATAAAAATCAGTTAACTGAAGAGTTGAAAACTTTAAATAAAAAGTGCCCATTGCACCCATATAGTCAGTCTTGAAAACTCTGAAATTAATTGTCCCGAAGCAAGAACATAGTAAAAATTATGTTGCTTAAGGTAAAATCCTATTACTAAAGTCAATGGTGTTATATTTTACAGCTTGAAAATAATATAAACTGATTTTGTTTTATATACTTTCTTTTATTTTTGTTTTTACTTTTTTTACACTTTTTGTCCTAAAACTGAAACAAATAAAAAACAATTCTCTGATGCTTCCTTTACAGAAAAAGTTAATTCTTTAAAAACAACAATGCTTATATAGAGTTGCATTTTGAACCTTCTGTAGATTCTAAAATATTTGAATGATTAGATTCCAACTCAGTTAATATTCCTTTATATAAAGACTCAAATTCTTTATATGATGTTTCAACATACCTAACTCATGGTAATCTTTTAACCGCTAACAAAGACGATGCCATTTTGTTTGATATGGTAAACAAAGTATTTAGTCCTAATTCTATATTTGTTTTTCCTACATCTATTAATACAAAAAGATCATTTTAAATTGAATGGCGCAGCCACTTATTTTGGTTAGCTTATTCTAGCAAAGAAGATGGAGTTTACTGTTTTCTTTGTACTTTGCTAGGTGCTAATACTCCAAGTAAGTCTGGAATATCAAATTTAGTTTTCAAGCCTCATCATGAATAGGATAATGCTATTCATGATTTTAAGAAGCATGAGAAAACAAGTATTTTACATAAAAGATCTATGTTTTTGTTTAATGGATTACGTTCATGTTGCAACTCCAAAAATAATGTTATTGAGGTTGATTTAAATAGTTCTCGTTTAAAACTTTTTTCTGATAACCAAAACGAATTATTTCTAATAATTAAAACAATAATATTTCTTGGTAGAAATGATCTAGCATTTTGTGGACATTGATAAAACCTTTCTTGAATATCATAATACCCTTACCTCAATACCATCATAATACCCTTAGCCTCGGCAATTTTGAATATCAAGTCCAAAAAGTCAAATGAAGTGTATTAAGTAAATTTGAGATTGACTAAGACCAGATGTACCAGTTTTGCAATCAATAAATAATACGAAATTCTTTCAAATCTCATTATATGAAATTACATTTGTTCATTATTTTAAACAGTCAACTGCTTAATTACAAAGAACTGAAAAAAAAATTGAACTTTTTTTCAACATTTTTTATTAAAACTACCTTAATTGTTTTCCCACATCAATAAGTTGGTTTTGTGTAATTTTTAATATAAAGGTAGCATTTTTTGGACTCGAAAAAAGATGATTAGCTAATATTTGATCACCAGCATCAACACGAAATTTTAAAATCTCAATAAAGTTACCTCTTCTAACCTTTTGTGCAGAAGATTCTTCAATATCTGGATGATAAAATGCAACCTTTATATTTATTCCTGGTCTAGACTTAAATATTTTTAATTAAAAAATGTTTAAGTCTAGACCAGGAATAAATAATAGATACTTTTTGAACAAGATGTATTTAAAAGCTGAGAGATCTTGATGTTTTTTTTTTAAATTTATAATTGTTATTCATGCTACAGAGGAAATGGGATTGAATGAATCAAAGGAATACAAAAGTAAAACTGTTCCAAATCCTCTTTTTTTTTAACATATTTCTCTTTTATTAACATATTTCTTTTTTATTGTAGGTTTAGTTATAACAAAACAGTTAAAGGATTTTTTTTATGAAATTACTGTAACACTTCAAACTAAATCTTTTGACAAATCCGCGCATTGTTTTGAAATAAAAATTTAAAAATTCTTTTATTAGAAATAAAAAAAATTGATATTCATCACACTGAAAGGTGTATATATATATATATATATATATATATATATATATATATATATATATATATATATATATATATATATATATATATATATATATATATATATATATATATGTATATATATATATATATATATATACATATATATATATATATATATATATATATATATATATATATATATATATATATATATATATACATATATATATATATATATATATATATATATATATATATATATATATATATATATATATATATATATATATATATATATAAATATATATATTATGGTGGGTCATAAAATTTTTTTTTGTTACAGGCTCTAAACATTGCTAATAGTTATTAATATTAATACTATCAAATATGAGAATGATTGTGATAGATTTAAAGGGCGCAATTTTATTGGGAAAATTACTGGTACCCTAATATTTTGGAGAAAAAAAGTTTTTCAAAAGTAGGTCAACATGGTACTCAAAAGAAGCGAAATTTTATAAAAAATTCGAAACTAATAATTGTTTTATAAAAATCATTTTGCCAAAAAAATTTGTGATTAAAAAACATGTAAAAATGCACTTTTTTCAGTTTTAGTTAAAAAACTATTGTTATTATGCAATAAAATCTAAAATAATAATTTTTATATGAAAAAATTATTATTTTTGAAATTTTTATAAAATTTCGTTTTATTTGAGTACCTACATCACATAATTTTGAATAAACTTTTTTTTTTAAATAATAATAGGGTCTGCTAATTTTTGTAACTATAGTTGCGGGTGAAAGACATTGTTCAATCCATAAAAGTAAATACTTTCCTAAATCAGTACATAAAAAAACAACGTTCTAGACCATAGCCAGGTTAGCAACTCTAAAAAAAAAATTTATGACCCACCCTAATATATATATATATATATATATATATACAGGGCCGGCGCTAGTATTTTTTGGTTTTTGATATAGCTAACTTCCAGACATGGAGCAAACTCAAAACATATATATATTTATACTTATGTCAAATAAGGATATTTATACTTATGTCAAATAAAGATATATATATATATATATATATATATATATATATATATATATAAATATATATATATATATATATATATATATATATATATATATATATATATATATATATATATAAATCTTTGTCTGCCTGAAGTGACTAATTAAAAAACGATTGGTGTCTTGAGTTATTGGAATATTTAAAAACACCACACATTGGATGAACGATCAGAGTCCAATGTTTACAGCGACAAAACAATCAAACTAGTTATCAGCTGGCATTTTTTCTATCACATGCCATGTGCCAGCGATATTTTTGTTAGATGTCTGCTTTAAAGATAGTGGAAAGCAGCACTGATCGCCTGATCGCCCGATCATTAGAGACAAACCAAAGAAAAGAAAAAATAATTTTACTCATAAAAAACAGCTAAAATTTCAACACATATCAAGTCATGAGAGAGGGGAAGATTGCAAGTGCAAGATGAAATGCTTTGAAAAAATTCCTGATAAAGAAAAAGACGGTCCACTCAATTTAATTTGATTAGTAGCAAAGCTGCGCAAGACTCGCACCTTGCTTTCTTTGTTCAGGTAAAGAATCTTTTTACTACCTATCTCGAACAACAATAAGTAATACAAGATCTTTGGTTATTGTTCCATTGCACAATAAATCGACTTCAGCATTTGTAAGTCTTTTTTTCAAGAATGCTGTATTAAACTAGTCATTATATTCGAGCCATGCAAAAAATATTGAACTATGTTGGCTTTCTCTCTCGCTCTCTCTTTTTAAAATGCTATTCATGCTTACAATAAGAAAAAGGTTGGTTAATAATTTTGTTTAAAAGAAATTTTTTGAGTAATTTAACATTAAACTT